GGTTATAAAGGGATGGACATGGTCAGCAACAATACTCAGGTAGGCTGTGGCAATGACACAATGCTCAATTGCTACTTATGGGCCCAAAGTGTGCCAAAAATATCCCCCACACCATTACACCACCAGCCTGAACTGTTGATAAAAGGCAGGATGGATTTATGCTTTCATGTTGCTGATGCCTAATTCTCACTCTACCATCCGAATGTCACAGCAGAAATCGAAACTCATCAGACCAGGCAACGTTTTTCTAATCCTCTACTGTCTAATTTTGGTGAGCCTGTGTGAATTGTAGCCTCGGTTTCCTATTCTTAGCTGACAGGAGTGGCACCCAGTGTGGTCTTCTGCTGCTGTAGTCAATCCGCCTCAAGGTCCGATATGTTGTGCGTTCAAAGATGCTCTTGGTTGTAACGAGTGGTTATTTGAGTTACTGTTGCCTTTCTGTCAGCTCCAACCAGTCTGGCCATTCTCCTCTGACCTCTGGCATCAGCATGGCATTTGTGCCCACAGAACTGCACCTCACTGGATATTTTTTTCTTATTTGGAACTTTCTCTGTAAACCCTAGAGATTGTGCATGGTTGTGCATGCAAATCCAAGTAGATCAGCAGTTTCTGAAATACTCAGACTAGCCTGTCTGGCACAAACAACCATGCCAAAGTCATTTAAATCACTTTTCTTCACCATTCTGATGCTCAGTTTGAACTGCAGCATATTGTCTTGACCATACCAAAATGCATTTAGTTGCTGCCATGTGATTGGCTCATTAAAAAGGAGAGGGGTACCTAATAAAGTGAGGTGAGTGTATTTTCTAATAACTAATTCCTATTGTCTTTGCCATGATGACAGTACATATTTTATTCTGGTTATATTGCAAGATGCTACTTAGATTAAAGTGCTTTATTTAAATTTAAAGGCTTCACTTATTAAGGTTGCGAGACAAGTTAGGGTAATTAGGCAATTCATTGGACAATAGTAGTTTGTTCTGTATATATCATATTATTCTGGGGGTATGATATATATATATATATATATATATATATATATATATATATATATATTTCTTGAGAGTACTAATATTATTAACCTCAAAATTTGGCTGAAATGTTTTTATTTTTTATTACAGCCAAACTAAAAGAAATACAAATGTTATAGGAAATACTGGGCAATTTTTTTTCCTCAGTTAAACATCACTTGGGAAATATTTGAAAAAGAATAAAAAATTCACAGGGGGGCTAATCAATTTGCCCTCATCTGTATAAAATCATTTTAAAGAAGATGATAGCGTGTGCACGCGTGTTTCTGGTGTGTGATCATTTGTGTGTGTGTGCTCTCTCAAGATATTTGGTTATATAAGAGTCCAGGGTTATACTCAGTAGACAGCACATCCTCCAGGGCGCAGAACCGTGCTAAAGAAAGGATAGAAATGAGGGAAGAGATTAAAGTGAAGAGCAGAAGAGAGAGACCTGGGACCCAGAGATAGAAAACTGACACACAGCAAGAGGGAGAAAAGAGAACATGATCTCATGAGTACACAATATGAAAGAATTTCTGTTCTTTGTATGTTTAAATACGTGGATTGTTGGCGTGACGTTGCAGTTTTACTGTCATACATGACAAAAATGTATATAATTAGTACTGACATCTTTTAAAATGCAGTAAATGCTTAAACATTTCTTTGTTTTTCATTGACCTCTTGTTATAAAAACTGTCCTATATGGTGTGACTTTCTCAAGCGTAGTTAATAAATTACAGCTCTTATAAATTAAAAAGAAAATTTTTAAATCATTAATAAATAACTCAGGCAAGATTTTACAATATATCATCCATATTTTTTTAAACTTAGGAAATTACTGTACGCAGAAAACTTGAATTGAAGATCATGTGACTGACTGACTTTTTGTAAACAATATAAAATTGTTACGTTTTGTTGTCTTTTGATGTGACAATTTATTGGAAAAACTATAAAATTTAAAAAAAAATTTAAATATAAAATTTTATTCAAAGAGAGTTGTTTTTCTCTTTTATAGTACAATTGTACTGTATTTACGGTACAATTCAGTAAAAAGTAAAATAAAATGTAAAAACTGTGAAAGAATTAACTGGTTACTGACCACAAGTAATGCGAATAACTGCACTATAAATAAACAACGTTACTAACTGTGATGCGTTTTTTTTCATCAGTTTTTTCATTGTTGAGGTGAAAAGCAAGAATGTTTATTTATCGTGCAACTTATGCCCAGGAAAAAGAGTCTCTCTGTGTCTGTGACTAGTAATTCTAATCTAATGAAGCACCTCACGTCACATGCTGCCACAAAATTAGTGGCTTCGCAGGTGATAATATGAGCTCTAACACCAAAGGAGAAGACAAAGCTACCACGTCAAAGCAAAAACACTACCTGACAAAAGTTTTGACACCTATCCAAGACTTCTAGTTGATCACTTGGTTTCAGAAGTGACTAATAGGAAAGCCAAAGGCCTCTGGATTATGCTTATTTTACCAAAATAAAATATGATCATGTCTGGTGACAGGGCTGGATAATTTTGGAGCATCTTGACCTTCTTTGCTTTCAGGAACTTTGATGTGGAGGCTGAAGAATGAAAAGGAGTGCTATCCTGCTGAAGAATTTGCCCTCTCCTGTGGTTTTTAATGTAATGGGTGGCACAAATGTCTTGATACCTCTGGCTGTTGATGTTGCCATCCACTCTGCAGATCTCTCTTACGCCCCCATACTGAATGAAACCCTAAACCATGATTTTTTTCTTTCACAAACTTAACTGATTTCTATGAGAATCTTGGGAATAAAAGAGAAAAGATGAATAGGTCTTCTGCAGTAATTGTGATAATTGGGATGCAATCTTCCTTCCTGCCACTTTTCCAAATGATCAACTAAAAGTCAAATTATTATTTGTTGATCTTACAACTGGGATTGATGAAAAGACTTTTGTCAGGTGTAAGATGTAAATTTTTTCCCACCGCAAACACTTATTACTCAGACAGAATTTAACATAAAAATATCTAGATAGTTGAGGACATGCTGCCGTTGTCTTTCACATTGTGCTAAAACAACATTAAAATATTGTAGATTAGTGTACAATGTTTTATATTTTTTAGGGATGTCCAGATCCGAACACATGATCAGAAATCTAGCCCAATCTCTCAGTTTGAGACTCGATCAGAATCGAACTTTACCTCTCAATCAGGTCTCGAGTGTAAACAGCCATACGCAGAAAGCGCAAGTTTGTCTGCAGTCTGGAGGTTTTATAAAGTTGATGAAGACAACATTGCCATAACAAACTGTGAGATATGTAAACTTGGAAATGTCTGCCAGGTATTTTTAGTTGAGCTGCTATTTGTTTTTATATTAGTTTTTTTTATAAATATATTTACTGTTGCAAAAAAGTCCAAAAGTAAAGAATTTATGCAATTTATTACTTGATTGTTCAAGCTACTGTACCTGACAGAAGTGTTAACAGAGTCGTTGAATGTTAAAAAAGGGTGAATTAAAGAAAAAAATAAGGAACATCCTGGATCTATTTTTTTCACTCTTCTTTATTCCTTTTTTATGTATTTTGAAAGTATCGGATCAGGCTTTGGTATCGGTAGATACTCTAAATCAAGGATCACCAAACTTGTTCCTTGAGGTCCGGTGTCTTCAGATTTGAGCTCCAATCAAACACACCTGAACAAGCTAATCAAGGTCTCATTAGGTATACTTGAAACACCCAGGCAAGTGTGTTGAGGCAAGTTGGAGCTAAACCCACACCGGACCTCCAGGAACGAGATTGGTGACCCCTGCTCTAAATCAAATTACTTGGAGTCGGACTTGTTGGCAACAAAAAAGCTGACTGAGACATACTTAATATTTATTTTATAGTCATTTGACAAATAAGTTTTTTTTTAAAGTAACGCATCAGTTACTGTAGTAATTACTAGTTACTTTTATAATTAAGTAACACAGTCACTTGGTTACTATTTGTGAGAAGTAACTATAACTAGTTAGTCTTTTAAAGGAAATTGCCCAACACTGCTGACCACTTACATTTTCTTAAACATCATGCTTAAAACTGCATAAATATAACTTTAACTGGTTAGTGACCTCTTATATTTTCTCAAACTTCACGCTTAAAACTACATAAATATAATTGCAGTGCTCAGCATATATGAGTACACGCCTCACAAATCTATCTTTTAAATTCATATTTTTAATAGAAAGCTATACGATATTATATTTGTGCATGTACATTAGATTAGTCAGTACTGAAGCCAAATCTGGAGCTTATCCAACAAAATAACTTGCAATAATGGTGAAATTACGATACATAATATTTTAAAAGTAAAAAACAAAAAAAGCAAAATAAGCAAAAATATGTAAAAAAAAAAATTTTCAATCTTTGTAGGTTGTCCCTTTTCTGCAATATTTTGTTTGAATTTAATTGTATTATCTCTTCATTTCTAAATATGTATGATAAGTAAAATATTATTTTAATAAATATATCTGTTTAATAAATAAAACTATCTTCAATTATATATATATAAATATATATATAAAGTTGAAGTAAGTTATTAATAATCTTCTTTTCAAGTGTTCAATCTTTATTAATCTGGGGTCACCACAGCAGAATGGACCGCGAACTTACCAGCAATTGTTTTATGCAACGAACGCCCTTCCAGCTGCAACCCATCTCTGCAAAACACTTAACTAGGTTAATTTGGTTAACTAGGCAGAACAGGGTAATTAGGCAAGTTATTATATAACAATGGTTTGTTCTGTAGACTCTCAAAATAAAAATATCGCTTAAAGGGGCTAATAATATTGACCTTAAAATGGTTTTGTTACATGTTCTCTTGTGCATGTAAAACTCACATTGAATGATGTTTCCTGCTCTGGTCTTGTGTTTGCCCAATTGATTCACTGCTGGTGGAATGTGAGCTAAAGATGATGAACTCTTAATTATTCATGTTCAAGAGGTGTTAACACAAGGTTTCCTTGTCATCCGGCAGGTCCTGTTGGCAGAAGAGAAGGGCAGCGAGCGCTTGTTTGCCATAAAGATGTTAAAGAAAGACGTGCTGTTTCAGGACGAGGACACAGAGAGCGCCATGGTGGAGAGAAGAGTGCTGGCCCTCTCGGGACGACCTCACTTCCTGACCTCGCTCTACTGCGCCTTTCAGACCGAGGTCTGTACCATCACTGGTGTGTGTGTGTGTGTGTGTGTGTGTAAGCCTGTGTGAATGCTTCATCATTAAAGAGAGTGGGAGCCTGGGTTTATACATGCATATGCACATTTGTAAACTATGAAATATAAATGGGCTGAAATGTCATTCGTCCCTTAGTGATAGAACAGATGCGGTCTTCACCTTCAGGGGGATTTTTAAATCACTTTTTTTGGCTTTGCACAGCTGGAACATGAGTACTGACATTTGTTGGTCCTTCATGTCCACATGTGGCCTCCCAGGGCAGATTCTGGCTGTTTTAGAAGATGGAATACAGTAGTTTTTCTGTTTATGTTATCTGGTTGTATAATATAGTGACACCTAGTGGTGTGAATGCATCAACATCTCCATCACAGCTTTCAGGTACTGGTGCCATTTTGCAGCTGAAAGTGTTTACAAGGTGTTTACTAGTGAATAGATTAGATTCTAGCTTAATGTTGATTTTATATGTACACATATATATAACACTAATTTATTTGGAGAGCTTTGGCTTCAATAACCAAGGTTTTAATATGGTAAAAGTGTAGTAAGCATTATTTTTCATTTTAATTACTACGTTCTATCTACTACACTAATGGTTAATGTGTTGTTACCAGTGTTTAGCTAATTACCATAGTTGTTTTGGTTTTATTTGTTGGCTAGAAGCAGGCTAGTGATGCTGATTCTTACAAGCTAGCTGTAAATGTTCATGGAATCAGTATAAATCTTCTGATATATTCTTTTTAGAAACAGAAAATGTATATGAAATGTTTAATATGGTTATTAAACTGGAGTTTAAGATTTTAAGACAATAAGAATTTGACAGAGATGCTAAGTAGCAACCCACACATTTTTTCATGGATATTGTTTAGGAGAAAAGTAAGTAGTAATCAGGTTGATTAATTCTATAAATAATGACTAAAAATGCTAAATTAATCTGAAAGTATAAGCAAAAGTTATTCAGTGTAGCTAGCAGAAATATAGACAACTTATGTCTAATCACCCGCTAAATAAGTTATACATTAAAATTAATAAAGTATTTTTATGACAAATTATTTGTTGGTGTGAGATTTAGGTTGATAATCACTGATATTAGTTACTTACCAAGAAATGTTGTTTATATAAAAATAATAATGAGCAGAATGACTGTGTTCTAATCTTGGCTTAATAAAATAATAAACACCTGATGTTAAATTCCTTGCCACATGACGAACGTAAATCATTTGAAATATTTATCAAACGTTGTACTCGCTTCTTGACATGTAAAATGCTTTTAGCAAACTAAATTGTTTAAAAAAAAAAAACCCTCATCAGATGAGATTAATGAGTATGTCAGCTATGGACTAAAGCTGTTTAATCATAGTAAAAATGAGAGCATCATGGTTGCTGTTCTTCTTTTGCCTCATTAAATGCTTGTTTACATTGGCCTAGATAGGGATCGAAATGTAAAATTAATTTGCCCTGAACTGAACAAGGCAGTTAGCGGTTTTGAGAGGCACGAGGAATGGCAAGAACAGATTGTTGGTACGATTTTGACTAACAGTGTTTGTAAAACGTCAGCTTGAATAATGAATGAGCAAAATAACGGAAGCTTCTGACATGCAAGTCAACCTGGAACAACTTGTGCAATAAAAAACGAATCCGTTGATCATTTTGCCATTTCGTTTCGCCTGGAAAAATTATTTGTCTAGCTAATGAATCTGGAGGGCCTTTTTTTTTTTTTTGCAGTTTTAGTTGCCTCATTTTGCTTTAGAAAAATGACTTTTGCAGTGCTAATAGTCTGACCTCTTTCAGCAGTCGCGTATTGCAAAGTGGCAATCAGCCTAATGAAATACACTGGCAGCTGCAGTGCTAAAAGAGAGAAAAAGAGAAGAGTTTTTTGTGTGTGCGTGCTTGTTTATGTGGTTTACGAGGACATGACAGTGTATAATGACATGGGTGTGACCTAATTGTACTCTGTTGGTGGTTTATGAGTACATGTCTTGTGTCCTTGTAATTCATACCTCTTTAAAATCATACTTGGTCACACTTTATTTTGATGGTTCATTTGTTGAGTTTAAGTTACATTGCATCTACGTACATGTCAACCAATTCTTATTAGATTTTTAGTAGACTGTTAGGTTGGGGTTATTGTAAGTTGACATGTACTGTACTTGCAAAGTTTCTTATAGTCAGTTAAATGTCTGTTTAGCAGCAGTATCAACAGATATTAAGCAGTCTACTAAAAAGGACCATCAAAATAAAGTGTTACCTCATACTTAATTGGGTCTTTTGACATCCAAATTCTGTGAAGGGGTTTAATAGTAGGGTATAACATGCCTTATGTCTATGGAAAGTTCTTTTAAGCCATATGTGTGTCCTTGTGTCCTCATAATTCAAAACACTTTAAAATCAAACTTAACAGTCTTTTGACATACAAATTCTCTGAAGGAGTTTAGTGGCAGGGTAAAAAAAATTCATCATGTCTATAGGGAGTCCTTGTAAACCTAATGTCTGTCCTTGTATCCTCATAATCCAAAACACTTGTAAATTATTATTAACAGTCTTTTGGCATTCAAATTCTCTGATAGGGTTTACTAGTAGGGCATAAAATGCATTGTGTCTATGAAAAGTCCTTGTAAACCACACCTGTGTCTTCATAATTTAAAACACTTTAAAATGATACTTAATTTAGTCTTTTGACATTCAAAATTTAGTGGTATGATATAAAATGCATTGTCTAGAGTCCTTGAAACCATGTGTGCTATTGTGCCCCCATAATACAAAACACTTTAAAATCATACTTAACGGGGTCTTTTGACATTCATATAAAATGCATTATGTCTATGAAGAGTCCTTATAAACTATATATACAAGTATTTGTGTGTGTCTGGATTTAATGGTTGAATTACTCTCGTTAAATGGCTTGAGTTTTTTCCTCCCTGTTTGAATTTGTAACAAACACTCAATATGACTGTGCTTGATAATGACCTGTTTGCGTATTTAAACTGCGCTTCATTGTCAAACACACGAAATGGAGCTCAGCGATCAGTTGCCCAGTGGAAAAGTACAGCATCCCACTGTTCAGAAGATCAGGTCCTGCAGACAGCAGATGCTGTAGTCTGATGCCTCGGAAGATAAAGTGGGCTGTTATCTTGCCTTGGCTGTAGGTGACAGAAACTGAAGCAACAGAGAAAACTTGGTGGTCTCAGCTAACAAGACAGTTTACATAATTTATCCAACTGGGCGTGAAGTACAACTGCTATTTTGCGGAATTTGTGCCTGAAAATGAATGCATTTGTAAAAAATGATTTGCTTTAATCAACACAATCTGACTGGCACAGTTGCTTAGTGGTTAGAACTGTCGCCTCACAGCAAGAAGGTCACTGATTCAAGTCCCAGCTGGACCAGTTCCCCCTCAGTCCAAAGACATGTACTATAAGTGCATTGAATAAACTAAATTAACCATAGTGTATGATTGTGTAATTGAGTGTGTATGGGTGTTTCCTAGAACTGGGTTGTGGTTGAAAGCGCATCCGCTGCATAAAACATATGCTGGAATAGTTTGTGCTTCATTTTGCAGTGGCAGCCTCTAAAATAGGAAGCTGAAGGAAAATGATTAATTCAACAGAATCTCACGGCAATTCGTAACTTTTTGATTTGGTGGCTAATTCATATGAATTTTTTAAAATCTTATTTGTACAGTTTATTAGGATTTGCTTATCCCCCAATGACGGTGGGGTTGGGGTGCCATTCTTCCTTATTAAAATTATACATTTTCGTACTAATTAACTCTGAATTTGTACAAATTAGCCATTAAACAAACAAAGTGTAAAATACTTATGTTTTCTTGTGAGATCAGGGTGGCTTTAATGGAATACACAGGCACATTTCAGCCCCAAAAAATATAATAATAATAATAATGATAATGATAATAATAATAATAATAATAATAATAATAATAATAATAATAATAATGATAATAAAAATAATAATAACATTGTGAAATTATTTTAATTTATTATTTTATTATTTTAAATCAATTTAAATTATTATTTCATCAATTATTTTTTACATATTTTCTACATATCAGATTTTTTCAACATATGTTTATACATAAGAGTTGTAATAACTAATTTCTATTAACTAATCTAATTTCTAATGTTTGTTTTATGACAGCACGTATTATTTCTTAATATTACATACACAGTATTACACAATGCATAATATACTAGTATTCAACTTAAAGCATAACTTTGTTAATAAATTTAAAATTATATAGTCATACAAACTTAAATAAGACATAAACTTTAGTACAAACTAAATAAAGACAAAAGGCTTATTATGTCCCTACCAGTATTCCGGTTTCAATTAAAATGGAAGCTTTAATTATGACATTTTTATATGACTTATATTTTAATGTAAAAAAAAAAACAAAATATTTCTAAAAATATTTTTTTGCTATATTATTGGATCATACTAGAATTTATATTGATGAACTTGTCTCTTGTGTTGACTGATTGCTTATCTGCTGTGGCATTTTCTGTATCATTTACTTGCATTTCATGAGAACAAGTAAGTTGATTGATGATTAAGTTTTTATGCCTATTTAAGACTATGCTAATAATCAGTTTTGTGTTGTAGGATCGTCTGTATTACGTCATGGAGTATGTGAATGGCGGTGATCTTATGTTTCACATCCAAATCGTTGGCAAGTTTAAAGAACCACATGCAGCGTGAGTTTAGCAACTTTTTACATTAATCCTGTTTCATTTTTGTTATGTCTGTTGTATTTATTATCTTCTGACTCTAAATACAGTACACTTTATCATTTTGTTGGCTTATTTAAATTATGAAACATTTTTATTGTCTTGGATGAATGCAAATTAAAAGCTTCAAGAACTAATTTTAATCATAATTTCTATATAAATACTTAAAAGCTTAAAACTTTTGAATACAGTGTTGAGTTTCATCTTTTGGGTGATTTCTTTCATACTTCTACACTTTTTGCTTTGGATGAATGATGATAATAATATCTCCTCCAGGTTTTGTAGATGATTATTATCGGATTTTTAGAGTGACGCTTCAGGCTAGTTTATTAGAAGTTGCCGACTGTTTCCATTTTGAGTAAAGTTCCTCCCAAAATTTGCTCAGAGCATGATAGGACATCAAGATTGATAACCCATGAGTTTCGGTTGTTAGTTTTTCATTTTTTGATCATATTAGTTTTGTTTTGGTTTTTTATTAACGTTTTCTTTCCAACACGTTTATTACTTTGTGCATTTAAATCTGTGGCAATTATATTGAATCTCATTTTAATTATTTTTCTATTCAAAGTAGAATTCCGCATCTTGATTACTTATCCTTGAGAGAAATCAAGTCATTTAGCTAGATTCAAAAGCAACTTCCCATCAATCCAGATAGATTTTTCTCTCTTTTTGTGATTTCCTGCTGTTCTTCTGTCTCTAAATTCACCAGTTCAGCTCCATTCAGTAATTGTGCCCTGCAGTGAAGGGAGAATGTGTGTTTAATGAGTGATTTTGATGTCGGCAGGTTTTATGCTGCTGAGATTGCTGTAGGTCTGTTCTTCCTGCACAACAAAGGCATCATATACAGGTATATGGCACAAAAAATCTTCTTCACTGTAAAAAAGGGATTAATTACATTACTTATTTAAAAAAAATAAAAATAAAAAAGACTTCTGCCTTGAAGGGAAAGTTAACCCCAAAAGTAAAAATCACCTCATCATTTACTCAACATCATTTGGTTTTAAAACTTTATCAATTTTTATCTTCTGTTGAACGGAAAAGAAGATTTTTTTTTTTTTAAATGCTGGTTGTTTGCACCCATTGTTTTCCTAAATTTACTTTTGTTGCCAGCTACTAATATTCTTCAAATTATGAGTCACTGAATCCTTTTAAAAATGTTGTTACTGAAAACAAATTGTCACCTTAGAATTAGAAGGTAATGTCTGAGATTTTTGTCAAAATTGAGTTATCAACATATTCTTAATGAACTTATTTACATTAAAGGATTTTTTAAAGTTGTTTGCATTTTAAGACTTTTTATAAAAAAAAAAATTAAAATAAATGTTACACACATACTGTTTGCTTTATGGAATGCAAACACTTTGAGCTCTATTTTGACGATCCAGTCACAAAATCCAAAGTGCAAGGTACAAAAGCATTAAGGGCATGTCTGAATCCACTTTTACTATTTAAAAAATAATAATAATCTGCTTTGCGCCGTGATGCATGGTCTAACAGGGTTGAGCATATTCTCATAATGGGTTTAGGTATGTTTTGAGAATAAACCAGAGTCTCATCTCCCATTCCATTAAAGAGTCAGTTGTGTTGCTATTTACATGGCGGACTTAGTAAGTGGAAAAACTGAACGCTTCACTTGCAAGGAAACAATTAAACAGAGCATCTACAGCGCGAGAATGAGAGTTGAGCCTCATTCTTTACTTTCACTTTCACTCTGGTGGATAAGGAAATGTGTTGTACGCACAGACATCCATTAGCCTACATAATTAGTTTTGTTTGTTATGCAATTAAGATTAGTTTCAAAATAATTACAAAGTGTGGTCAAAAAACTGGGAAATAAAATTCCAAATACTTATGCTATACCCCATATGGTCTAAAACATTACAGGTGGGCAAATCTAAGCTTGTTTTTAATAAAAACAAATATAAATATGCATATAATAAACAATAATGCAAATAATAATAACATTATAGAAAAGCAAATTGTCATTAATAAACTGAAAAACCCTTCCGAGATGAAGAAGGCATGGAGGCAGTGGTTTTTATAGGTTAGAAAATATTAATTTTTGTAATATTTTCATTCTTTAATTATTTTTTATTTGTAAAGATATTTGCATATTGCTGTACATCCTGTGTGTATTAAGCAATTTTTAAGCAAGGCGCACAACTAACGCGCTTTGCACTGGATTTTAGACCTCCTCTTAGCTGGTCTATTGAACAGTCTATTCTAGTTCCTCAAAATAGCAATGTGCCAGCAATGCGCCTCAACACACCTCCTTTTTTAGATCAGAACGCCTATGGGCGCACAAATGAGCGCAAATGCATTTGCTATTTTAACAGCATTCTGCAAAATGACTCTTGCATCAAGCTGAAACTAGCAAACAATAATTGCATCGTGCCTTGCGCCGCATTGCGCCTGGTGTATGACCTATTGAAGCTCAATATCTCTAAATCATTAAAAATACAAATAGATCCTAATAATTCCAAGATGACAAATTAAGTACACAGCTTCAAGTGTAGTAACTAGAAACTGATAAGTTGGCTTAAATTGTTTGTATAATTATGCATATAATTTACTTTTTTACTTGTGAATTTTATGGCATTAGGTTTAATCACTTTTTTTTTAAATAAAGTCAACTAAATGCTTTAAAAGCAATAGATTCACTCAACCTTTTTTAAGTAAAGTGAAGTAACTAAAAGCAACAGGCTTATTCACTGTTTTTAAAGTAAATATTCCCAAAATCTACGTTTGCTTGTTTGTTCAAACTGCTTGTATAAAATGAGCTGAAAGAACACAATGTTTTGTGTTTTAGTGGGTATAACTTAATTATTTAATCTTTAATCTGCTTAAATTTGTTAAAACTAACAAGTTAAAATAATTCCTTCATGTTGTCCCAACACAAATTGATTGTGTGGAACCTTGGCATTTTCTTAACAACAGATTTACACAGTTTTTAAAGTAAAATCTTTTTTTTTTTTTTAAGCAAAGGGGTTATTTACCTTCTTAGGTAAATTTAACTAATAATTTTAAAAGCAATGAGTTTACTCGCCTTTTTAAAGTAAAGTCAACTAATCAGGATAAAAGACAACAGGTTTACTTACCTTTTCAAAGTAAAGTCAATTAATTGCTTTAAAAGCAATAGGTTTATTCAACTTTTTATGTAGTCAACAAATTGATTTAAAAGCATCGAAATTACTCATTGCTTTTTTAAGTTAACTAATCGCTTTAAAAACAACAGGTTTACTCTCCTTTAGTAAAGTCAACTAAGCATTTTAAAAGCAATGTGTTTACTCGCCTTTTTAAATTAAAGTCAACAAATTGATTTAAAAGCAATGAGTTTTCCCCTTTTTAAGGCAAAGTCAACTTTTTTAAGCAAAGTCAATGGGTTTACTTACCTTTTCAAAGTAAAGTCAGTTAATCGATTTAAAAGCAATGGGTTGACTTGCCTTTTTAAAGTAAAGTTAACTAATTGATTTAAAAGCAATGAGTTCACTCAATCTTTTTTTAAAGAAAAGTCAACTAATTGATTCAAAAACAACAGGCTTACTTACCTTTTTAAAGTAAATGAAACTGCTTTAAAAACAATAGGTTTACTCATCTATTCAAAGTAGTCTATTGATCGCTTTAAAAGTAATGAGTTTGCTCACCTTTTTTAACTAATCAGTTTAAAAGCAATGCGTTTACTAATTCTTTTTTAAAGTAAAGTCAGTTAATCAATTTACAAGCAACAGATTTACTCAACTTTTTTAAGTCAACTAATCACTTTATGCTGTGGTCATTTCATGCTTTCTATTTCCCTCTCTAATCTGCAGAGATCTGAAACTGGACAATGTCTTACTGGACAGCGAAGGACACATAAAGATAGCAGATTTCGGGATGTGTAGGGAAGGCATGATGGAAGGAGACACCACCCGGACCTTCTGTGGCACACCTGATTACATCGCGCCAGAGGTTTCCTGTTCTCTGTCTTCACCTTCTCCTGCTGTCTGATTCATCTTCTTTTCCTCATGACCTTGGCTCTGTGTTTACATTAACCCTCAGCGAATGTGCGCAGTCAGCACATGTCTGCTTGTATGTGCATCTGCGTGTCTTTGTGTGTGATTTCATTTAGGTCCACCGCGGTGTTTCACTACACGCCGACATGATGGACATCCCACTCGAGTGATGTATGTGCTAAATGGTCAGTGTTTGTGATTTGCTGTGTGATGGAAAGGCGTTAAGTGTGAATGTGGGTCTACTGAAGCCCGGTATGCGTCAGTACTGTATTAACCCAGCAGATAAACTGGCTCACATTGATCACATTATGTAAAAAAGAAAAAGAAAAAGCCATTGATCTTTGTGTCCCTGTCATTTTGAAAAGATGCAATATGTGTCCCTGCAGGCAAGGAAATTAATCTCTCTTTCTCATGCTGTGACACACACACACATACACACACACACATACACACACACACACACACACACACACACACACTCGTGGCTGACACAGAGACACTGGCATATTTATTGTGTAATTATCTTTAATATGATTTTCATGAGCTTATCTGCACATTGAGAGGCCTGTAATAGCATTCATCTGACTCAGTAAGAGGTATATTTGTAATTTATATGATTTTAAGATTATAACATTATTAAATGATGAAGCATTTCAAATGCAGAATTCAAATCAGGCTCTGTTTCAGCTGGAATGTGAGTTGAAGTTATTCAACAGTATTCCACAGGATGTTGAATTGGAATGATAGGAAATATAGTTGGAATTGCAATTGAAAGAAATTAAATTTCACACAACAGGATTTATTAAATTAAATATACAAAGGCAAAACTACCTTTTTTACTTTGGGACTTTTGATTGCTTGAGTATCTTCAGGGTCTTAAAACGTCTTAAATCTACTGAAAAATTGTTCTATGGACTTTTTTCTTAGAATGAAAAATAACCCATTGTGCTTTGCCTGTATGCGCATGGAGGATGCTTTGAATTTCCGGTCGGCAGCTGATGCATGTAAAGAGTTACATATGGACAGCTTTGAAATGATAGTTTTAACTTATTTTACTTGCTTACTTTGAACAAATACTGCTGTCGATCAGCGCCACTTCCTGAACGGATAAATTTAAAAAATGCAATCTAATGGGATAGAAAAAAACGGCTGCAAGGTATTTTTCCCTCGTTGTCAGACAGCATCTTGTTCCGTTTAAATGGAGCCTTGTTAGCACAAAAGTCAACATTTTCTCTTTTTTTAAATATATAACCAACCCAAACCAATGCAATTCGCCAAAATGTGTGACACACACACATAGCCTGTACTGTCCCACTAACACACTGATTGAAAGAGCGGCACAATGTGAAAATAAAGGGACATTTTGAAATGACAGAAAAACCCTGGTAAACACTACACAATGCAAACTAACTAAATTGAACATAAACTGCTCCCGATTAGAATCAACATGCAAATCAGCCAGGGGCGCGTTTCCCTAACCACGACGTAAAGAATCAAACAGAATGATATAGTGACGAGTGTTTCCCAAAACCCTTTAGTTTCTCGGTCGCAGATCCATCATTTGAAGCACGTTATAACGTAAAATGTCCATAATGATGCTCTAAAAGACATGGAGTACCTACTTCTTTGTGAAGAACCACATAATTTTTTTGTGCAAATTATATGGTTTTTACACACACACACACGCATTATAAAATATCGCATATTAGTTTTGGTAAAAATATGCACTCGTTTTTTATATTAATTGAAATATATGGCACATATAGGACCAATATATGTTTCCTTTACAGATATTAATGAGAACATTACATATTCTATCCTAAAACATAAAATCACTTACAAAAGCTAACACATATTCAAATATCATATATAAATCATATAAATAAATAAATAAATAAATAAATAAATAAATAAATAAATAAATAAAGAAAGAAAGAAAGAAAGAAAAAGAATGAGGCTATTTATTAAGAAATGAAATTTAATATTTATAATTTATTAGGAAATGAAAAAACATAATATTATTATCATTATTATAAATAAGTAGGATATTGTTTTTTAATTTTTATTTATTTTTTTTTTTCAAGTCTACTTTTACAATTTAACACATGCAAACCACTGCATAAATGTTCTAACCAACAGGCCCATGTCCTAAATAACCTAAATAAAAGCATTAACATATGCTGTGTTTTTTGTTTTCACAAGCTTTATAGCAGGGGTCACCAATCTCGTTTCTGGAGGTCCGGTGCCCTGCAAGGTTTAGCTCCAACTTGCCTCAACATGCCTGCTTGGGTGTTTCAAGTATACCTAATAAGACCTTGATTAGCTTGTTCAGGTGTGTTTGATTGGAGCTAAAATCTAAAGACACCGGACCTCCAGGAACAAGTTTGTTGATCCCTGCTTTAGAGCAATGACTGTAAATAATATGCTAGGGAGCGCAATTGTAAACATGAAGATCGCTAAAACTGAACTGCAAAAATACTTTGAAAGCAAATTACACCTACAGTAGGAGTGATGACTTTAATGCTTTTTTTTTTCATTACAAATTTAAATGTTAGAATGTTTTAAATGAATAGAGCATAGGGTGATAAGTGGGAATAGAACACAGCCAGGAACTAGGTTTCTAACTATACCTCTAGGGGTCCGTTCTTTGTACCTCGCTTAAATGATCTAAGATGATTTGGCAGATCCTGGATCTGTTAATCTTGATAACTGATCTCTCGCTAATTTGGTTCTTCAAACAAGTTCGCGAATCAGATTAGAATGTCTGGATAAACTGATCTGAGATTGCTGCATGAATTGTAAAGAACAGATCTATCGATCCTCGAAATCATGATCAGCAATGCAGCGATTGGCTGACGGCACAGCAGCGTAATGACATCATCTGATTAATATTCAATTATCCATGTGAGCAAAATCACATCAAATTAGCAGTAAACGGTTTGTTAAATATGACACGTGATAACATTCCACATTTGTTGTAAACTGCAGGCTTTACACTTTCATGTGTCAAGTTTATCATCATGTATTTTAATGCAAATCAGTGTATTTAGTTCTATTTAGAAAAGATTTTCTTTATTATTGTAGCCGTTTTTTTAATCGGTGTAAAGAATAACTGGTTGTTTACAAAAGCATTTTCATATTGGTAAAGGCGTCTGCAACTTTTGTGAAGCATCAAAACACTGGCATATTAACTATCAAAACATGTTTATGACTGCATAAATGTATTATTGCTTTAAAAAAAAGTGACATATTGTGCATTTCTTTTATACACAATTTGTACTAAAGCGATCTAAAAAGTTCATATCAATAAGTTTTCTCTTTGCACCACCAGGTGACAGTCTTTGTACTTTCATTTCGAGGGTGCAGCTTGCTTAAGTTTTATTAATATGTATAACTTTATTTATTTTATTAATAACTATAACTTTATATATATAGTTAAAAAATATGTACCATTTTCCCAACTGTATATAACTATTACTGTAAGAAAATATCAGAATTCGGAACATACTTTCTGTATTATCTTTGCTTGAACTGAGCCGATCTAATCCTGTTTATATGAATTGAACCTGCTCCCGATCAGGTTTGACCTAGCAGAACTGTTGCTATGACAACAACTCTCGGATCAGCTTTGAAGAACGAAATGATCCTGGATCGTGTCAAATCGTCAATATCCAAATCCAGCTAACTGAGTAATCCACGCACGAAGAACGGACCCCAGAGATGTAGTTGCAAGTGCACAAGTTTGTGATTGTTAATTGGAACGACGAATTTGGGAAATCAAATCCGTGAACTATGTTTGTACCTATGGAACTTGTGACCTTAGTTAGCTAACGATGTTTTTTTTTTTTCGGAAACGCATCCCTGAATAGTATCATTAATGTACTTTTATTGGTAATTTTTGGAAGTTGCATGGCTTACATACCTGCTAGTTTCATGCCAGTATTATGGTTTGCTCTTTATAATGCAGTTAGGTCTTTCAAAATTAAAGTTTTGCATCACAAAAACACTCTGTAAGCCACTGAAAACAGTACTGACACCCAGTTGAGAAACACTGCTCTCACTGATATCAATTCTAAACGTAAATTCTAAGCACCCTACCGGAAGGCGCTGGTCACTATGGCGCCCTTCATGCAGCACCGAAGAAAAAGGTCTATAGCTACCCAATCTGGCCATAAACATCCATACAATCACCAACCATCCCAATTTCAATAAAGCTTTTTTTTTTTAAATTGCATTTTACCATGTTTACCATAATATTTAAATTACATTCCTTACAGAAATATCAGTTTAAATGTTCTCCATTTATTTACTGCAGATGATACTGACCTGACCTATTTTTTGTATTATTAAATTATTATTAATATATTATTCAATGTATTAAATTGTAATAATTTTTGACAGGGCAAGTGAAAATCTTTTCCAACTCGTGATATTCGAAAATCCTTATAAAGTCTAAAATTGCATTCATAATGGTCTTAAAAGGTCTTAAAAAGCTATAAATTTAACTTGTTGAAACATGCAGAATACCTCTTTTAAGTTTTCCATTTTGTCATCTTGCTTTTTGTTGCTATATGTTGTCATCTGGGTTTTATTGTTTTTGAAACAAGTCATGTTTAAGTGAGCATTTTTAAAATCCAAAATGATAACGCACTTAGGAATAATTAAATTGTGAGAGGTTTTCATTATGCCAGTTTGCAGTAGGCTGAAACATGACCCATCAGAAATCATTCATAAAGCTAATTTGCTGCTTAAAAACATTTCGTCTTAGCATCACAGTTGTGCATCTAAGTATATTTATAAACGTAGTTATCAGATTTCTTTGTTGAAAGTTCACAAATAGGGTCATACTTCACAATAAGATTTCATTAGTCAATATATTTACATGAACTAATTATAAACAATACCTGTACATCATTTATTAATTATAGTTAAACAATTACTATTGCTTTCTTAAGATACAAATTCATCGTTGCTAACTAACACTGCACAACAGTGTTTTAATTAACTAATGTTAAATAACATTAACAAATACCTTAATAAAATGTATTGTTCATTGTTTGTTCATGTTAGTAAATGTATTTACTAACATTAAAAAATACAACATTATTGTAAAATATTTACACAAAGATTATTTGAAAAATATTATGTTACATTATATGTGTATTTAAAGTGACTTTATTGTGGCTTTTGATCAGTTTAATAGATCCTTTCTGATTTAAATTGTTAATTTCTTTACAAAAGTTTGAACGGTAGTGGAGATAACCAGTTACATTTAGTAAATTAGACATTTTTGTGACATTTTATTAATTATTATATATATTTTTTTTATTTCAAATATATTTTGTTCATCATACTACAATTACTTAAATCAGCTTCCTTAAATTCAAATAGGAATTCTACATCCTGTTTGTACAGACACAAAATTCAATTGGAATGCAAGACCCTTCTGAATAGACATTTTGGTAAACCTAAACTAAATCCCCTGTGTAATTTTCCAGATTGTGGCATATCAGCCCTATGGTAAAGCAGTGGATTGGTGGTCATATGGCGTTCTCCTTTATGAGATGCTGGCTGGGCAGGTAATTTTTCATCCTCTTTCTTCCCTGAGCTTTAATTTTGTCCTTTTCTCAATAGATCTTTCTCCCCGGCGCCCTCTCCCTCTGTCTCTCTCTTTTCATCAGCCTCCTTTTGATGGCATAGATGAGGAGGAGCTGTTTCAGTCCATCATGGAACAGAGTGTTTCATATCCTAAGAGTCTCTCTCGGGAGGCCGTGGCCATCTGTAAAGGGGTAAATCTACTTCCTCTTCTTTCATCTTTGCTGCCTACATATTTGGCTCGGAGTACGTGCACAAGCAGTCTTTAACACTAGCATTACCTCTAAAAAATGTGTCTTAAATTAGACTGCAAGTGTATTTTCATGCTTTTTGTTTTGTTTTGTTTTTCTTACTTTCTTTCTCCATCTGTTCCTCTCCAAGCTCCTCACCAAGAACCCTGCTAAGCGTTTGGGAGGAGGAGAGGATGCGGAGAGAGAGCTGCGGGAGCATCCTTTTTTCCGCTGGATAGACTGGGACAGACTGGAGAGACTGGAGATCCAGCCTCCTTTCAAGCCCAGAAGTGTCAGTATCACCTGTTACAGCACCTGTCTGTCTGTGTGGGTTTGGTTTTAACACTAACGACTGAACTGAAACTATATAATTGAACAGAAAAATAACAAAGAGTTGGGTTTTTTACTAATCAACATTAGATGCATGGATGGATGGATGGATGGATGGATGGATGCATGGACGGACGGACAGACAGACGGACAGATAGATTAAAACAGTTTGAAAGAGAATAGATGGATGCATGGATGGATGGATGGATGGATGGATGGATGGATGGATGGATAGATAGATGGATGGATGGATGGATGGATGGATGGATGGATGGATGGATGGATGGATGGATGGATGCATGGACGCATGGATGGACGGACGGACAAACAGACAGACAGACAGATAGATTAAAACAGTTTGAAAAAGGATGGATGGATGGATGGATGGATGGATGGATGGATGGATGGATGGATGGATGGATGGATGGATGGACGGACGGACGGATGGAGGGATGGACGGACAGATGGACGGACAGACGGACATACAGACAGACAGACAGAAAGACAGACAGACAGACAGATAGATTAAAACAGTTTGAAAAAGAATGGATGGATGGATGAATGAATAGATAGATTAAAACAGTTTGAAAAAGGATGGATGGATGGACAGACGGACGGACAGATTAAAACAGTTTGAAATAGAATAGATGGACGGACGGATGGACGGACGGACGGACGGACAGACGGACAGACAGACAAACAGACAGTGGTTTTAACACACTAATGACTGAACTGAAACTATATAATTGAACAGAAAAATAACAAACATAGAGTTGGGTTTTTTACTAATCAACATTAGATGCATGGATGGATGGATGGATGGATGCATGGACGGACAGACAGACGGACAGATAGATTAAAACAGTTTGAAAAAGAATAGATGGATGGATGGATGGATGGATAGATAGATAGATAGATAGATAGATAGATAGATAGATAGACAGACAGACGGACGGACGGACGGACGGACGGACGGACAAACAGACAAACAGACAGACAGACAGATAGATTAAAACAGTTTAAAAAAGAATAGATGGATGCATGGATGGATGGATGGATGGATAGATGGATGGATGGATGGATGGATGGATGGATGGATGGATGGATGGATGGATGGATGGATGGATGGATGGATGGATGGACGGACGGACATACAGACAGACAGACAGACAGACAGACAGATAGATTAAAACAGTTTGAGAAAGAATGGATGGATGGATGGATGGATGGATGGATGGATGGATGGATGGATGGATGGATGGATGGATGGATGGATGGATAGATAGATAGATAGATAGATAGATAGATAGATAGATAGATAGATAGATAGATAGATAGATAGATAGATAGATAGATTAAAACAGTTTGAAAAAGGATGGATGGATGGATGGATGGACGGACAGACAGACAGACAGATTAAAACAGTTTGAAATAGAATAGAATAGGACGGACGGATGGACGGACGGACGGACGAACGGACGGACGGACGGACAGACAGACAGACAGACAGACAGACAGACAGACAGATAGATAGATAGATGAGATAGATAGATAGAGACGGATGGATGGATGGATGGATGGATGGATGGATAGATGAGTGGGTGGGTGGGTAGATGCATGGATGGATGGATAGGTAGATAGATACATAGGCAGGCAGACAGACAGACAGTTAGTTATCTTGTCTGGAGAAATGTTTTACAGTATGTACAGCCTGTTTGGTTTTGGTATTTTAATCCCGTAATCATACAACTGGAAAGTTATTAATGCCCTCTGCCTGCTCCTCCTTATTATTTTCAGCATGCATGTGTGCTTTCATATTAACTAGTGTTATTTTGTCTTGCAAAGACAGCAGACAAAAATAAGTCTGACCCTCCATGCCTGTAGCTCTTTGCCCATATTACTCATGCTAATCTATGGCGTCATCACGGCGTGCAAATGTATGTGAGTACAGCAAATAAGTGGAGGTGCTCTAAGTTCACAGCACTGAACTGACGTCAACAACATGTATTTTTTTGTGTGATATTCAATAGAATTAAGTGTAGCCTAGCTGATTTTGTTTTGTCATTCTTACAGGGGGGCAAAAAAGGAGAGAACTTTGATAAGTTTTTCACATCCACCTCGTCCGCCCTCACACCTTCTGACCCTGATGTTCTCGCAGCAATAAATCAAGAGGAATTCCAAGACTTCACCTTCATGAATTCAGAGTTTCCCCCTTCACCCCTCACTGCTGTCTGAGAATACCTTAATCAGTTCACACATACCAATTTCAGACTCTTGGATCGTTCTTCATAAAAAATTGTGTAATTTGGCTTCAGCTTGCTTACAGTTAGAACAGCCTTTACCTTCTAAAACTACATCACACATATGTCGAAGTGCCCCATTATGCTTTTTTTTAAAGGTTTTAAATTTTAAGAGGTCTCCTTCCATATTTTTACATTTTCAAAATTGTCAATAAGTGTTTACAGAACACAACTCAGTCTCAGTAATCCTGACATCTGGCATGCTTGAAATCCTCTGTATTTGACAAATGTAATATAACAGCAACCAGATACTTATGTCTGCCAATTTTAACTAAGCTACTGTCAAAAAAGGAGTTGTTTTGTTTATGTTTGGAAGGCTGCTTCACTCTTGTAGTGTTGCCAGTTGTTATAAATAATGCGTTGTAAGAGTTGCTGGGCTTAAAGGCACAATATTTTATTGCACCATAGAAAAAATATACATTATCCTAAACATTTGGAAGCATGTTTAAATCATATTAATAGTATTGTCACAGAATCCTAAAATGTATTTAGTATGATAAAACAGAGCCGCCACCAGAAGAACCGGAAGTAGTCAACTGGCATAGTAAAAGCTTGCAGCTGGGTTTGCAAGGTTGCACTCGTCTCTTATCAGCAATAGCTTCAGTGATCTCATTCCTCTTCGGGAGGGGAAACTTCAATGCTGTGTGGAAACTTCCACTATGTGGATTTCGTCAGAATCCAATCATCTGAAAAAGTATGTACATGGGCCAATGAAATGCCAATGAGTTGGCAGCGTCAGCATGCACAGCTGTCGCTACTAACAATCACTTTGGAATAAAAGCGCAGCGGGTGCCAAGTTGAGCATCCTTTTCACTTCAGATCTTTTCACGAAGCTTCTGAGAGAGTTGATAAGGGCTTTCTCTGACTGTTACGACAGAGAGAGAGAGAACGAGCAAGCTGCTTATCCCGGTACAGAGTGTGTGATATGTGGCAGACAGTCGAGCCGGGTTTCTTCCTTGCCTGGCATTCTTTGGGTTTGGTCCTCCAGAGCGGTATATATTGTTGCAAATTTTCTAAAAGAGCAACACGGCCGTGTAGTGCGTCTTTTTCAAGACATCGCTGCAACTGTGGGTTTCTGGATGTGGTGGTTTCCTGTCCTCTGATGATGGGCACGAGCACTGAGTTTCATGTCTGGGGGTCCAGCATGTTAATGCAGTGCTCGCGGGCAGTGCATGCCATTATTGCAGTGGCATGCCTGTTGCGCAGCTAAGATCGCGGCTTGCTCTTGCAAAGGGGCCACCCACCCCAGTTGTACCCCGCTTCACGGTGGGCACTCAGGCAGATCTGGGGGTTACAGTGGGAGTAAATCTGCCGCCCTCGAGCTTATAGACCTTTCGCTCCTCCACGCACTCCATCCAAGCTTCGAGTGAGAGAAGCGCTCTGTCCTCGAACCCACTCCCTATACCTATGTCTCCACCCTGTACGCTATGGCCACCTACCAGCGCTACCATGCGCAGGTACTGGCACAGCTGCATGAGGGTGGTTCCGACCCAGGCATGTTGTGCCTGCACCGCACCCAACTGTGCTCTAGAAATCAAAAGTCCGCTGCGTGTGCTCTGGGAAGGACGATGGCCACATTAGTGGTCCAGGAATACCACCTCTGGCTATACCTTAAGAAAAGATATGCGCAAAGTTGAGAAAGTTCGCTTTTTTAACTCGCCCATATCCTAGGCTGGCCTGTTCAGTGACACCATCTGTGGATTCACCCAGGAATTCACGGCAGTGCAGTCGGATACGATGGGTCATCTATCCACATCCACTGCTTGTTGCTGAGAGGGCCCGATTATGAAAGCTTCTCTGACCCACCTGCGCCTCCGGCCAAGCAGCAGCACCAAGCACCTCACAGGCAACCAGCGCTGCCTGCCCCAGGGCACCACTAAGTACGATAAATGGACCACGAAGCGCCCCTGACATGGGCCATCTGGAGAAAAGGCACTTCTTCCCTGGTGGGGGGTCAGGGATCTTCATCTAACGACACTTAAAAAAGTATCGAACCTCAGAGATAGCATTTTTCCCTTCTCCGTATGTGACAGCCGCAGGATTGTTGCACTTTGCAAGTGGCTTGCAAGCTGTGGGAGGACAGTCTCCCTTCTCTCACACTTCCAGACCCTCTTTCTGCTCCTAGGTGCGAGATGAGAATGACTTTCTTGCCTCCTGCTCTTCCGTGGGACCCCCATGCTCCCCAGATTAGCCCTCCCACTCTACACGCCCCACTGCTGGTATGTCAGCGATCGTAGCGATGAAGCCACTAGTGAGGGCTCTGCCTGCCTAGTTAGTGCGGGCCAGCCCTTCGCGGTGGCTCATACGCATGATCAGACTTGGCTAAGCGATTCAATTTATGAAACGGCCTCCCAAATTCACAAGTGTGTATCTCACCAGGGTCAGCCCTGTGCCCATCCCTGTTTTGCAAGAGAAGGTTGCGGTCCTCCTGGCGACTGATGTAATCTAATGGGTCCCTCCAGCCGAGATGGAGAGTGGGTTTTACAGCCTGTACTCCATCGTGCCCAAAAGAGCAGTAGGCTACGGCCAATCCTTGATCTGTACATTTTGAACGGCGCTTTTCACAAGCTGGTGTTCGGAATGCTTACACAGAAGCGTATCCTCCGGTGCGTTCATCCTCGGGATTTTTCTGCAGCAATAGACCTGAAGGGCGCGTGTCCCCATACTTCCACGCCACCGTCAGTTTCTGCAGTCTGCGTTTGAAGGTCGAGCCTGGCAGAACAAGTCCTCCCCTTCGGGATCAATTAACTGTGTACAGAGACAGAGTGCTTCGACACCCCAACCTATTGGGGCTTCAGAACAACCGAGAAAAGAGTCCCAGTGCAGACCATCTCTTTTCTCTGGTTGAAGCTGGACTTGATCAACATGACGGTGTGCCTCCCTCGAGAGCACGCCCAGCTGATGCTGACCTGTCTGAGAGAGTTCGACAGAGAGACTGTGGTCCCACTGATATTTTTCAGAGGCTCCTGCAGCATATGGCATTCACAGCCGCTGTCTCGCGGCTCGGGTGCTCCATATGAGACCGCTTCTGCACTGGCTTCATGATCCGGTCCCAAAACGTGCATGGCATACGAGCGCGCACCAGGTGCCTGTTACTCTGCTGTGTCACCACGCCCTCAGCCTCTGGATGGACCCTGCATTTCTATAGGCCGTGCTCCCACTGAGTCATATGCGGCGCTATCACTGCATTTCATTCTTTCCAACCAAGCTCAACCATGCAGACAATGCGCTCTTACAGCAGTTTCACCTGGGAAAATGGAGACTCCACCCCCAACTGTCCAGCTGTTATGGGCTGTGCCTTTCTCTCTAACACAGAGATACGTGCGCTCTCTTGCTTGAGTTAAGTGTTGGCCCGTTACGTAATTGGCATGCCTGCTAATCCGCCCATGTTCTGGGTATAGGTGCGCGCTATGTGCGATCCCTGCTGGCGATCCCAAATGCTCACTCAGAAACGATGTAGTCCCCCCCTCCCAGTCGAATCTGTGTCTTTCCTTCCAGCTAACCATCTTTTTCCTATGCGTACTCCTTCTTCTCAAGGCTAGTCCATATGTTCTCTTGCCACCATGTCTCCCCACTTGGGCAGCAGATGACCCCCGCAGCCTCCTCCCTATCAGGACTCCATGCTTTCCCAATATACTGTCGTATTAAAAGTGTGATAAGTAAGGGCCAGTGAACACATTGGAAGACCGCACCTCTGGTGATGCAGGTGCGCTCACGTTCTTGGCTTGGCATAACCTCTTATTGGGGGCAAGGTAGTTTAAATTATTGTGGCGTTTTCCATACATTTCCCCATAGTGGAAGTTTCCACATAGCATCCCCGAAGGGGAACACTCTGATTACCAAAAGGGGGAGGAACTGAAATGCTTTGTTCCATTGCCACAATGATTGCCCCTTAGCTGGTGGGCGTGAAAGTCTCTTCAGCTAGATAAGGATGCTCAGCTTGGCACATGGCACGTGCTGCGCTTTTATTCCAAATTGATTGTAAGTAGCAACAGCTGTGCATGCTGACGCTGCCAACCCGTTTATATACTCTTTCAGATGATTGGACTCCCCAAAGTGGAAGTTTCCACGTAGCATTTCCATTCCCCCTCTCGAGGAACGAGGGTTATTTTAGTTAGCGATTTGCTTTGACAACTTTCCAACCACTTTTCTATTGCTTTTCAATGCAAATGTGCTTGTTAGATGTCCATAAGCATTACGCTTGATTCTTTTGAAGCGCTGTACATAAGTGCTGCATTTTTTAGATGCCATGTCAAGTTAGAAAAACTTAAGTTTTAAGGTTATTGAACACTGAATTAAAAATTTTCATATATTTTCTCCGCATGTTAAAAATTAAATTTGAAAATTTCATCCATCATAAAAAATTAGATTCATGATTGATTTTTTTTTTTTAAATGCATTTTGAGAGGTGTTTTAATCCAGGTTTTATTTATGCAGCTCTTTAAAAAGGAGATGGAACTCTCCTTCCTCTCTCCACAATATACAGGCAGATTTATACTTCTGCGTCAGGTGCATGCATGTGCTCTGGTGCAGCCTTTGTGTGGTCGCATAGCCCTCGCCCTGGCTGATGCAGACACTGGCGCACACCTCTCAAAAAATGTACATGTTGCAACGACGTGTAGCGCAGGCTTTGTGATTGGTTGGCTTGGTAGCTGTGACAAGTGTGGGCAGTGCTGAGAATCGCGAGCCTGATGGAGTGTTTACAAGTATTGAGTTCTGTGAGGCAGCACTAGATAGAAACTTTTGTTTTGTGTTAACCTTATGATTAAAGTTGTTGCATGTTTGAGTTTTAGCTACTTGTAGTGTTCAGAAAAAAACAAAACACCCGTGAATAAACTCGACACAAAGGAACATAAAAATACTCACGGCATCATTTGATGTAGAAGTATAAACCAGCCTTGAGGGGATGGACCCATTATTTCCTCTTTCGTTTTTTAAGCAGGGAGAAAACAACAAAATCATTTTCACTACTCAAAGACATTTTGTATTGTTTTGTGAATTATTTCGCAAAGATCAATACGCATTGGACTCAATGTGAAAAGTGTGCGACAATTTTTCTGATTTAAATTCCAACAAATCGCATACGAAAATTTCCGACTTCAGTGTGCAATGACCTTTACACACAGCGCTGCTTATTAGTGTCAGTTCCAAAGCAGTGCACCAATCAGAAGAACTTGAAGGAATGGGGTAAGCATTGCAAGCGGCTGTGTTCATATTACCATAAGTTTTGAAAACATTAGTTCATCCATCAAGATAATTTCTGTTGAAGTCCGATTGGATGTGATGAACACGTACACTCTCGTGATCCCACACTCTCTGCATTCTCATCAAAATTCACCTTTTTTTTTGTTGTGAATATGCGCTCTCTAGTGGCAAAATATACATACTGTGCTTTCAAGCAATCCAGTTTATGAACTTAACCGAGTATGTTATGTAGCACATGTTTTTCTTATTTTGTTTTGAGGCTTATTTATTTTTAAGTTGAAGAGTTTGGATGAAGTGCTTAATTCTAATTTGCTGTTACTAGTAAGTAAGTATGTACCACATGTGCATATCACATACCTGTGATTTCTGCACAGAAGAGACATGTCTCTACAGGATGATACATATTTAATTACATCCTTTACCATTAGTGTTGTTCTTGTATGATATACTTATAGAAGAGCATTGTGTAACTATCAGAAACAGTTCCTAATTTTGTTTGCTACCAGTATTTGAACAACATTTACACTGACAGCATACGAGTGTAAATTTCTTTGTAGTTCAGGACTGCATAAAAATACTGATCCCTTATCATGCACAGTAAAGAAACATGAATAAATGAGAAAGTAAAGTGCACAATATGTGCATGATATTACAGTTATTTATTAACTGCAAATCTGAACGTGAACAGCAAGACACAATGATCAGTTTAACTCTCTTTGCCACTATTATTGTGTTTAAATAGTCAATTACGATCAAGATTAAAATAATTAATTATAATTCCCTATTCCTTTCATATTTAAAACACTAAATGAACTGTAAAAGCATGATATGGGGCACTTTAATCCTCTTTAACATTTCAACAAACAAAGCTTTAATAATATTTAGCTGGTCCACTCAGCTTGAAATATTTAAGGGTCATACATTCATGTCATTATCTCATGGTACAATATATAGAGTCTTATTGGATAGGGATGCTAGTAGTTGGCATGACCTAATTATAAAAGACAGCACTATAGAAACCAACATGACATGATTTCCCCCATGTTTTAAAGTTCACTTCAAGCTGGTTATTTAATCTCTGATCAAACTAGTGCTGTTCTGCTTGTCTTTGTGTGTGTGTGTGTGGTCCTGTTTGCTCTGGTTTGGTTTAGTTAACCAAATGAGTGTACACTGGTTAGCAAACACATTTAATTCTTCAGATGTAAGCATCAGACCAGTGGTATAAACGCTCAAAATTTTGATTTAGGAGTCACACACGACAGCTAGTGTAGATGTAAAAAAATATATATTTAAAAAAAGAGCATATTATACTATTTGTTTGTGACATGAATGTTACTGTATAAATCTGTAGGTGCATCAGAAATTCAAATAAGGTTGTATACATAATCTTAGTCTTTTAATAAAATAAGTCTTTTGGACCCGTGACTTGAAAAACACTCAGATTTAGATATTTATGAATTATTCCATACATGTATTTGCATATCTATATAGAGTATGTGGAGTGTATTATAAAGTAAACATGTTGATGTTTATTCAGAGTGCATAACTGAATTTTTATATGAATGTGTTAGCATTTTTAAATCAGCACAAAATAAAAAAAAGTCCATGTCAAGGTATTTTTGGCGACTTCTAGCATCAAGCAAAAGCTTCCCCAGGTGTCGTCATTCAGATATTTTATTTATTTACAAAATGTAGAAGTGATTAAATGTAAGCATTAGTTGTTATAATTTCTTCGATCTGCTCAAGTTTGTGGATGAAATCATTGCTGTGGAGTGTATATTATAAATATGACTTCATTAGACACTGTGAGGTCTCAAAGATCAGCATGCACTTGTCTTGCATAGCAAAAATAAATAAATAAATAAAAATTCATGATGCCTGACCTGGAAAGACCCGAGTCTGCAGACTGTGCTAAAACTGTCCATCTAATACTACTTGAAAGTTGCTCTGGCAACAAAACACTGCCAACTGAAAACTATCAACATTTTGTGTGTACTGTTTTGACAGATGGGAGAGGAACTACATGTTGAATAAAAGGTGTTGTAAAGGAAGGATGGAGTAAATAAGTTAAAGTTTAAATTGGCTGTATGTAAATACTTTCATGCACCAATTGCTTTTATATGTCTTAACAGTTGTTATGAAACTATTAAAACGAGACCTCTTTGGCTTCCTAAGTTGCCTACAAACGCCTGCAGACTGATTTTTTTGTGTGAAACGGGAAATTTAGTGAGATATTGAAATGGATGTGACATTTCATGCACTGCAGAGTATTCCAGTCTATAGCAAAGAGCTTAAAATGACCAAGAGGCGACACTCAATAGAACATTTCATTGCAACAGCAGCGCCCAGCAACAGCCTCGCGATTCTGCCATTTTTTAGTGAGAGTGATCTGCCATCCATTGGAGTGGAGGAACTATGAAGTCACCTTGTAGGCGAATAATCTGCTAGCATAAAACTGGTTCCCTCGATAAAATCCCTATAGGAATTTCTCATAGGCTTTTAGAAGATTGGAAATAATAAGCTCTGTGTTCAAACACTGTTCATTGCACTTACACGTTTTGTCCAGCCCGATAATTCTCACACGAAAATACAACTTTGAGCCCTTTGGATCTCAAACGCAAGAACTGAAAAGCTAACATTAGGCTATAAACGAACTATACAGTGTCCTCGGGGCACTCGTCTGTGACGTCAGCATCACCCTGCAACAGACAACTTTTCTAGCTTATTTTTAGAAATATGGTCTATGAAAAAGAGTTAATCTCTCTGTTTATTATATTATAACCCACGCTATATATTATAAACAAATAAGTTTGCAAGAATACATAGACCTGCGTGCCATTTGGATCGTTTTTACAGGGGAAATACATCTGTTTTGCTTTACGGTTGTTGTAAAAGTTTTAAACTATGTATAAATGTGCCTACATAGTATTATCATAAGACATATTTAAATAAATGTATCGCTTGCATGCACACAGCCTGCTTACCTTAACAGATGACAGAAAGGAGGCATGAGGAACAAGTCTATATGCCTGCAAGTTCCATCATGGACACAGAACAGCATTCAATACTCTTTTTATGTCATGAAGTCCAGCGAAAGCAGCACATACAATCACATATGCTATACATTTTATGGAGGAGTGTATACTGCAGTTACGACGGAGTTAAATGTGTTCAGATGAAGAAAAAACCTGTTGAAAAATCTATTGATCACATTAAAATGACAGTTAACATGCATGTATTTTGACACATTTATTCACACGTTTGCATTACTGAGAGCAGGAAAGAGACAGTCTGCACTGATAAGCAGTATCTTCATAATATCGTTTAATTAAAATAAATGATCAACAAATAATCTGTCTTGACAGTCTTTACATGTGAAGGCATTATCCGCACACACTAGGAATTACCAATTAGAAAAACACTACAAACTATAAAATACTACTGATGAAAATATTTAAATAACAGACAAACCCAAATGCCCAATACAAGCGGGCTGCGCTCCAGACCACTTCAGCTGGATGACATATAATGCCTCTGACACCGCCTGTAGTCCAATTTAGCAACTTGATTGCAAACATCATTTTAAAGAAGCGTAATCGATTTAAAAAATCAAGAGTGTGATATAACCAATGTGTTTTATGTTGTAGAATAAAACGTGAAAGTATCTTGAGTTTGTGTTAGCCACGAACCTTATTTAAGCGATTTTACTGAAACCCCATTGAAACCCAGTGACTTTGGGACAAGGGAACCGGAAGTGCTAAAATGCTAACTCGCTTCCGGGATTTTGCATGCAAATTGACATCATAGTTCCTCCACTCTATTGCTGTCACTATGAAAAGGAGCTACTTTGTTTTTTATTTTATTTATTTAAAAAGCCCAATAAAGCTGAGATGCAACCTGAAAGTCTCTTATACAACCTAATACAACACTTTATCACAATAATCAGCACTTTTGATAGTTTATTTTACAGACTTATAATATGCTGTTTTTCTATTGGAGTTTCATTTCAAAATGGCAGCCGCACCATCTAGTGGCTGTGTCCAAAATCGCACTAGAGGGTCGCCTCTTTAGCGATTCTATGCTCTTGGTCTATAGTCGCCTTTCCACTGCACTTGACAAGCGATAGACCGGAAGTCCTTCATTTTCAATGGAGAGTATTGCAGGAGCTGCGAGGACTTCCGATCATCTCCGTAAGCGAAAAATTCGGATCCGATTTGAGTTGCAGATGTGTTTAAACTCCTGTGACTAGACCATATTCGACTGGCCGACCGGATGTGATGTGTTCCAGTGTTGTCCAAGCAAGTCTGTGTGCGTGAGATGAGAATTAGTAGGGTTTTTTTTTTTTTTTTTTGCTTTTTTAAATCAGAAATAAGTCAATGTATATATACAAAAAACATTTCTATTCATAAACAATAAAACTTATTTTTTATGTTATCTCTACCTTCCCTCCAAAATGTTTAGCAGTCTATGAGTTTCTAGTATTGCATTCATGCAACCATGGTGAATGCACCGAGAATAAAGGCTCTTTATTCACTGCGAGAACAGCTTCTCTCCCATAGTGCACAACAATATTGAAAAATCCAATAGTATCTGGATGCAGCCTTTATGATGTAAGCTGAGATTGCATCACTCAGCGATGCAATCTTAGACACAGTGCACTCAATGGAGTGAGTGACATTACTGTGATGGATAGGGTTAGGGGTGGGGTTAGGTGAGTGCATTAAAAAGCATTGGATGCAGCTCCGATTGCACCTGGCCTGCATCCAGACCCCTCTCTAAAATTCTGTGTGACAGCCACAAGGGGGCATATTCCAACAGTCGTGTCGCAATGTTGTGTGCAGTGGAAAGGTGGCTTTTGACATGAAATATATGCGGTATCATGTTAACATTACCTGAATAATGATGTACTAATATGTCAACAAAATGTTACTTTATTGTGAACTAATGATGAGGTAAGGCATGCACTAATCCAAAAACTGACTTTAAAAACAACGTGTCAGATGAGTTCATGTGTGAATAATGGCTACCTTGATTGCTTGTTTGTACATGTTTTCTTAATTAGGCTAATGAATTAATTAACACTTTCGTTTTATCTAAATGCAATCAAAATGAACTCAAGACCTCTTAATGTACACCCCCAAATCAGAAAATGTTGGGGCAGTATGGAAAACACAAATTAAAAAAAAGAAAGTAGTGAATTCTAAATTTACAGCATATCGTGCTTCAAAATCTCTATTTACATTTCAGCATTAATTGTGCCATCCCAGAAGTGAAAGTTACTTTTGCCAAGGGCACCTGACCATGACCACTTTGAACTTGTTGCTGGTAACAGTCTGGATGTTCCTTTTTCAACTTTGCTCCAGAGCACATAGTGTCCATTTCTCCCAAAAAATACCTAAAATACTGATTCATCTCTGAACACAGTACACATTTCTACTATTTGATAGTCCATCCCAGATGCCTCAGAACCAAGAAAAATTTATGGCTCTTCTGGACACTGTAAACATAGGGTTTCCTTTTGGCACAGTACAGTTTTTTTATTTATAATTATTTTTTGGGTTTTTTACCTTTATTGGATAGGAAAGTAGAGAAAATTCACAGGAAAGCATGGGGAGCAGAGAGAGGGAAAGGATAGGCATAGGACCACGAGGCGGAATCGAACTCGGGTCGCCGTAAGCACCGGAGTGCATGTGTTGACTCCCTAACCACTACACCACTGACGCTGTGGGCACGGTACAGTTTTAACTAGCATTTGTGGATATACCTGCGTATTATGGTACTTGACAAAAGTTTGCCAAAGTAGTCCTGACCCCATGTGGTGATATCGCTTATAGATAAATGATTTTTGTTGCAGTGCCGCCTGAAGGACCAGAGATCAGGATTGTTCAGCTTAGGCTTGCGCCCTTGTCCTTTATGCGCTGAAATTCACCCAGATTCTTTTAATCTTTTAATTATATTATGCACTGTTGAGAGTAAAATATCCAAATGTCTTCATATCTTTCTTTGAGAAACATTTTCTCATGTATTTGTTGGCAAACTGACCATCCTCGATCCATCTTTGCTGCTAAAAGCCTAGACCTTTTAGAATGCTGCATTTGTACCAAATCATAATTACAATCACCTGTTGACATCACCTGTTTCAAATCACATAATTATTTAACCAATTTACCTGATTACTGGCCCTTAATTGCAACTGTCCCAACTTTTATGAATTTTATTTTTGCAAAAAACAAAATTGGAGCATGTCTATTAGAATATGGACTTGGAATTTGTTTATTTTGGAAAATGTGGGAAACCCATCACTCACAAACCATCAGTCATACATTCTCATACAAACACTACGGACAATTTAGCCTACCCAATTCAACTATAGAACATGTTTTTGGACTTGTGGGGCAAACCAGAGCACCCGGAGGAAACCCACGCGAACGCGGGAAGAACATGCGGAAAGACCATGCAAACTCCACTAAGAAATGCCAACTGACTCAGACGAGGTTCAAACCAGCAACCTTCTTGCTGTGAGAGTGCTACCCACTGCGCCACCACGTCACCCAAAGTTATTAACCTTTCACCAGAAGTTTATCAGTATAAGGGGAAAAAAACACTAGCTATGCATACAGCTATAACATAATTAGCATCTATTCTTAATTTTTTGAGGTTAAAACTTAAAATTGTACCCTTAAACTTATAGACAAGCAGTACTAAACATTCTGTGTTAGTATTTCTGTGTTAATTTGTGTGTTTTCATTCGGATGGATAGATAGATAGATAGATAGATAGATAGATAGATAGATAGATAGATAGATAGATAGATAGATAGATAGATAGATAGATAGATAGATAGATAGATAGATAGATAGATAGATAGATAGATAGATAGATAGATGGATAGATGGACGGACGGACGGACGGACGGACGGACAGATAGATAGATAGATGAGAGAATGATGATAGATAGATAGATAGATAGATAGATAGATAGATAGATAGATAGATAGATAGATAGATAGATAGATAGATAGATAGATAGATAGATAGATAGATAGATAGATAGATAGACGGACAGACGGACGGACGGACAGACGATGATAGATAGATAGATAGATAGATAGATAGATAGATAGATAGATAGATAGATAGATAGATAGATAGATAGATAGATAGATAGATAGATAGATAGAT